TCTTTCGATACTTCAAATATTTTTGATAACTTTTTAAGTAAATAATCAATGACAACAAGTGAAACTGAATCACAATCATTAACACCAAGAATAAATTTGGAAAAGCGAGCATAAAACTAAAAAGAGAGTAGAATAGTATAGTTTATTAAGAAAGAGAGGGAAACAAACGAGCTGTTACCAATAGTTTTGTTTCATTATCTGGACATAATCTTTTATTTGCCACGCATTGCTTTAAAAAATGTAGAACAACAAATAAAAACTGACGATTTGCTTCTACCGTGAACAATAGTGATAGTTGAATAAGTTCAAGTTCTTCTTTGTTCAAGTTTTTATTTGTCATCGCTAATAAAAGAGCAAGAAAGAAACTGATCATCTAATGAAGCACTTTTTTTGTCATGCTACTCACCCTGAGCGACCAGATTGTAATTAATTTGTTTTTTGTTATCTTCTAACCATGATTGTAATTCTTCACCAGTTGTTCTTGTTGATTGAAATAGCTCACATGCACTCAAGGATTTTCGACGCTGCATCGAATGAGCATTAACTAAATCAACATGTCTTGATCTTCTGAATTTGTTGTCTCGAGGTTCTTCGCCATTGTAACAATGAATTCGTTGAACTTGTGTTTTTGATTTAGATGAAGAAAATTGCAATGAATCACTTGAAAAGCAACTTGATGTTCCTTCGATCAACGGACTATTGGGTGATACATCTAAAAAACAATAGAAATTAATATAATTATCTTGATAATCAAAATTATTTTTCTCACCTCTGTTACTAATCAAATCAATGAGAGAAATAAATAACGTATTTGTACTGAGTAACGATGCTTGTGTGTCAAAAACATTTATAATTAAATTTAAAACATCGACAATAAATGATGGATAATCAGGCAAATTCCGAGTAATAATACTAGTTGGAACTAAAACAGAACAGAAGAACAGAGAGCTTTAAATAAGAAAATGAAACTAAAATTATACCTACAGTCAGCAACAACTGACATTGATTCAGGCAACCAGTCCACATATTTTTCTAAAATTAGATAGGAATCATCAATCATCAGAGAAACTAAAGCTTTCTATCAATTACTTACCAGCAATGCTCAGAACATTAACGGGCATTGGAGTTTGTAAATTCAATAATACTTGAGTATAATCAGTTCGTTTCATTTCTTGTTCAAATTTATTCAACACGTATCCTCCATTTCTATTTCGTTTTAATAATAAATATTTTTCGATTCGTTCGATGAACATTTCTTTCCACATCTAGAAAAAATAAACATCCACGTTCTATCAATAAAACTGCGGTCTGATAAAACAAATGTGAGCTAGATAGCAGTAAAAAACAGTCCATATCATAAATAAACGTTCTTGAGTTTGTGGACATAAATACATGTATCTTACCAGACCAATAATTGTCGCTGAATCCATTGATAAACGTGAAGATGAGAGTCCGGTGTCTGTCGATGAAAATGATGGTGAAGATGATATTGGTCTAGCTTTCTTAGGAGAACTCCTTGTATGAAATATATTTCCATCACTGGATGGTAGCAGCCTAAAACAAAGATAATAAAATCATTGATTTGTCATTTTTCGCTTCTAATACACACTGATATATTCCATTATCTTCTACAAATGATCGACGGTCAGCTTTATTCACATCACTAAAAACTTTTGATTGATAAAACTTATCTAATAATTTAATGGCATGTTCTCTACAAGACAAACAAAGATATCAAATGATTGTCGAATGATTGGTGTGATCTGTTTTTACCGTTCAATTTTTTTATTTATAAAATTGGGATGTTTCTGTAATATGCTGATCATACAATTAATAGCATCTGCTGATGAAAAACAATTTTCATATGATCCTTTAAAATAATTTCGACGAAATTTACGTAATTCAATATTTGAACGAAATAACGATACCAAATCATTCCACTAAATAAAAGACGACAATTTTTAAATTTTAAATTTAATCTTTGATCACTGAATACAACTTTTAGAAATAAAAAAAATTCCAAGTTGTTTAAATCAACAGTATCCACGCTTTTTTTGCTTAATGAATAACACTATTTAGATTTCAACACACAACTTATTTTTTCTCTTGATCTCTCTTATAATTTAAGCAGATCATATATGGTTTCCTACAATATAACATAGGGGACGCGTACTTCAGCACTTAGAATTATGTTCGTGAAAAGTTCGTTAACCCTTTACTCCCGGGTGTCCGTCCACAGGCGTGGATATTGATAAAATCGCTATACAGAAATAACGTACAATTGTATCAAAACTGGATTTTGTTTCAACCTGGAAGACTTCAT